AAAAGCTCTGCTACAAACAATAGCTAAAAAGAGAAAACAGAGTTTTACCTTTATATGATTCTAAATAGATTAAGACAAGTGGAGGACCATCTAAGACTGACCTACCTACTAGAAGGAGTAACTGCTGAGTAGTGGGCTCCATCCAGGGGGGTACATATCCTCTCTTGGTCAGCTTGAGTGCCATGTGCTGGCTGGCTAGGAACCGGGGGCACCCCCCCCTCTTTTCCTGGACCAGTCAACTGAAATGCAGGAGACAGTCAAGTTAGGTATCTCTAAATTGGTTCAACAACACAGTACAACATATAACTTAGTCCCAATATGACAGAATCCGTTCTGTTTTTGGCATGCGACTAGGCTCCAGCTACCATAAAGCGGAGGGGAGTGTCAAGCAAAAGGTGATCCCCACGATACAAATGCTGTATTATTTCCTCCCTTTCTCCTCTGCACTTCAGGCCTGATTTACACTGCAGAGCTCTATGCCCACAGCACTTCTAGTTCAAGGAGCAGGGAGGGAATCATACCCTCCTACCATCACTGTGTCAACAAAACTCTCGCGTGGAAGCAGTAGGCAGAAAAACGCTTCTGTCAATTTAGCTTATTTTATCTGATGAATGGATGCAAATATGCCAAAATGGACTGTCAGTGTATCCTACATCTAGGCTAGAGTGCTGTTCTTGGACAGCTAGAGTGACAGCGGCTCTGTACTACAGACAAGGCTTTGGAAGAGGCGACGTTTCTGTGCAGGCAAACAGGTTTGGTGCCTGTTCTCTTAGTGTAGCTTCTCCATGCCACTCCTAGCTAGCCAATTCTTAGCTCCTCTGCAAATTCTCTTTATTTAACCTAGATTCTTTTTATTCCTGAGCAGGCAGGATACCGGTGCATGCACTAGTTTCAAGGCCTCTCTCTGATGTACAAGTGATGCATAATGGTTGCAATACCAGCCACACCTGTTCTTCTACCTTGTACAAGTACCTGGTGAGGGTGTGCAGCATTCAAGCCACCAGCAAAGAGTACAGGATACCCCATGTCAGCTGATCCAACTGCCAAGGTAGCAGGCTGATAGGAAAGACGAGAGCTGGAAAGCTAAGAAAGAAGAGAAAAAACAAGAAGGACAAAGGGAGAGGAGAGAGGAAAGGGAAGGGGAATGCCCAACAGTCTGAATAATCATCAGTCACTGGAGAAGGAAGAGGAGAAGTTGGAGGCAGAGCACAGCGTTTCAGGCTGTCAGAACAGATGCTAGATGTGCAGTAGAAATCAATCATGAAGGTTATTACTTTAAACAGTTCTTATTGTAGGGGACTAAGTTTGGGTCTTGACAAGAAAACAAGACTGGTTTCCTACACACATAGGCGGCTGTGCAAGGTATGACTGACATCTAACATAGGGAAGCTCTGCTCTACAGGCCTGTTTCGCATACTGGAAAAAAGCATGAATGCCATCACCAACTTATTAAAGAGATACTATGTACATGTTTTTTTTTCCCAAAGCAACTGCATTATCAGCTGTTTGAACTCATTTCCATTGTATATGAAAATAGCTGACCTTCAGAGCCTGCTCAAACAGCTTCAGCAATACAATGTAGGGCCCTGAAGGTGTGCTAGTTAAAGAGAGAAATAGGAAACTAACCCTTGTGAGATTGCTTTAGGAATGAAGTGCTGGAAGCAGTGAAACCCAGGAGAAGTTTCTTACATACCTTAAGTAGAAATCTAATTGGGAGGATTAAATAAAACTCCTTCTTGGTTTGGCCTTCTTGACTTCAAAAGGAACGCTTCATTCAGAGCTCTGCATGTGACACGCCAGCAATGCCAACACTAACATCATTTACAGTGGTCTGAACGAGAACAGCACTCACCTGCACAAGAGGCTAGTTAAGCTGAATGGAGCAATCTCTTCTCAGAGAAGGTCAAGTATAAAATTGTTACATGTTGTGCTCCCGGAGATATCAGCCAACTTGACTCTTTTTGGAGGAATTAATATTGCTTTGGAGATTATTTTATGCTTATTTGGAGATTTTTATGGAGATGATTTATGCAGAAATCCCTTAAGGAACTCTAAGGACTCCCAAGTTCTGTCTCACAGTCATTGAACTTAAAAGTTTTACAGTTCTAATGCTAACAAACTGCTTCATCCTCCAGCTGCCTTTGAAAATCCTTTGACAACTTTGTAGTAGCTAAGTGTTCCTATTTTATTAAGTATTTCTCGGTCCTCTCTTTTAAGAGACTTGCACAAGCATGAGAAACATGACATCAGACAAACATGTGAGATGTAAACAAAGAACAGTAAATCAGGTCCTTGTGTTACTTGTAACCATGAAGACAGATAAGTGAGATTTTTTTTTTCTTTCAAATTAACAGCATCTCTGTTTCAACCCAGGAAAAGGTCTAACTAATGACTGCGTAGATTCTAGGGCATAGATTCTGTTAAGAGAAAACACTCAGCAATATGCCTTATTAGTTGTTGTGTCCTTGTCTAACACTTAATACTTGCAACAGCTGCTGTTTGTTCAAGTGTGCTTTTCCTGTCTTGGGAGACCTTAATTTGCAAAGGCATTTAAGCATCCAGCTCTCACTGAAACCCATACAAGAGACACAAATGAAAACTTTGGTAGACTAGGGCCCCTACAGAAAGCAGGTGACATTCACTGAAGCCAGTGGGACCAAATTCACCTATACTTCTATTTAGTTTTTTTTTTTTTTAAAAAGGCTATCAAAGTAGAGTAAAAAATTGATTTACACCCCTACGCTCTCGTTTCCTCTGTCCCCTCTTCTCCCTCCTTTGGGCAAGTTATATATAGCCCTCCTTTGCCAACAGCAGGCTGTGTTCTTCTAGGCGTCCTAGTGTTGCAGCTGTGGGCTGGGCTCCCATCTCAGCAGAGGTGAGGAATGCTTAGTTCCTTCTCAAACACTGACCAGCCTGACAAAGTACTGTGCACTTTTTTTTCCCCCCCTTCTTTTAACTTAAAGACTCTTTCAAAAGCTTGCTGAAAACTACTCCTTCCCCATACCCTCATTAAGTGTTATAGGCTGCTTCCTGCAGGATTGCTGTTCAGCTCAAAGACTGCAAGTGTTTTTTATGTTTAAAGAGCAGTGGTTTTGCAAACTAACTAAACCCAATGACGTGCCTGTCTCATTTTTGGTTGACCAGTCTTTTTGATGCACAACAAACATTCTGCATTGTGAAATTTGTGCTTTCCTGTATTTGTTCTGTCAGGCCAGTATTATCTGGCCATGAATAACATGTTCTATTGTCAACTCACTTGATGTGAAAAGGCCAGTCCCATCACTGGGACCTTCAAGGTGTCCGTCACCACAGGAGGAGGGGTCTGAAAATGTGCCTTTGTAACAGTAAAAACACACTGTGCACAGACACAGACACACAGAGGAAACAAGAGAAACAGAGAGAGAGAGAGAGAGAGAGGACTTCAGAGAAGAACTATAAAGAGTTGGATGAACTGAATGCTAGCAAAGAGACTTTGGCTGCAGCAGCCAAGCCTACACAGAGAGCAGAATTCTCAATATTGCCAGAAACACATTAATTTTGTAAAGAATTGACTGCTTTCCAATCTCAGCGAACCACTCAACACAGCTAATATTTTAGACTCCAGTGAACACTGACAGAAAGTAACTGCCAGAAACTGTTCCACAGTTAATTGGAATTGTTAACAGCCAATTAGCAAGGAGAAGGCTGAGTAGTTGCCAGAAAAAGCAAAGACTAATTTTATTTGGAAATGTACAAATTATATATATTTAATTAGTCTCCATCCATACATTCTTAATCTTCCAGCATTCTAAAAGACAGCAAGGATCATATCTCGGCATGTCTGTACTGTGCACTCAGACTAAACAGGTCCCAGATTAAGGGACAGTTCAAATACACTGATGTGAAGAGAGGGCTCCTTCACTAGGACTGACACTCCATAATTAAACTCTGTCTTACAGAGGTGCTAATGCAAAAAGGGCATGCCAGTCCTGGGCTGGCCCCTAACTTCTCCCCATTTGTTTTCCTGCTAGCACAGTTCTATGGAATTTGCATTTGTGGGTACCACCTGTGCTCAGACTTTCTCCTGAAATTTAGGGTATTCTCCAATGCGCATAACAGACATTTTATGCAGGTCCACAGGGAGAAGCTAACACCTACTCCCTTGCATCATGCAGGTTGGGCCTCATTTCTATTGGGAAGGCAGGTAGAGCTGTGGATAATCTGCATATGAGCTGTCTATATCACAAAGTTCCTCTTATTTTCCTAAGCATTAAGTTGCATATAGAAAGCTGGAGGAAGATAAATTAGCCTCTTTTTTTTTTTTCCTTATTTACTGTAGAGCCCACTCTGCCAAGACAGTCTCTCAGTTCTAACTGTGATTAAGACTGGCAGTTGCTTTATACATAAGCATGCAGTGAATGCCAACTATGAGCCACAGAAAGGCAAGAACATATTTTCACACTTGATACGAATCTTCGAGGTTCTTCTGGTTTCCTGAAGCTTTTGTCTCACTGAGATGAAAAGCTTTAGGTTCCCTGGGAAATGCCAGCTTCAATGTATTTACAAACACCATTACTGTTAAGCAGTACAGTTAACACTGGCATGGGCAAGCCAGTAGAAATTTCACCATGAACCCTACTGCATTTCACCTGCTTAGTGAAAAGGCAAGACACAGCTCAGCCACAAACCCATCTCCTGAGCTGCATATCCAGGAACAATAAAAGCTTTATTCTATCAGACTTATCATGAGCGCTGCCTGATCAGTTCAACAATGCCAGACACCCCATTACCACAAATCCAGTCAGCACAAAAATGCTTCCTAAGAAAAGCTTATTTCTAGCTAATTCATTCAGCAGAATACATTCTGCTAAACCAATCAGACTAATTCTTGTGAAGCAGTAAGAAGACTCATAGCAAATTCTTTCAGATTGGAACAACATTCCAATTACACTTCATTCTATGCTTCACGCTCACACTAAAACAAATTTATAGGGTCTTTAGATTGTCTTTAAAGTCCAGTAGAGCCATCTGCTAGGCTGGATAACAAAGCAGAATATTCTTGAATATTTAAAGCTATAGGAAACAGCAAAACTGGCTAAGTCTTCAAAATACAGAATTGTGGAGTCAGTTGTATAAGGAGAGAGAAAGACAGAAGAACTGGAGTTTCCATTTTTCAAGATTCAGATGGGATCCATTTATTCTTTTAAAACTAAAACTTAAAATAAATGAAATTTGCACAGGTAGGTGGGAACACAGAGAAGTCTACTTAAAATCCCACCTAGTTCAATACTATGACCACTGATTCCGGCTGCCCCAACTAGTTTTAGATGGGCCTACAAATAAGGTTTCTGTCTTTTTCCTATTTTCCTATTCTGCAATCCAGAAAACATGACTGTGCCACAAGCATTCTCCTGAGCGTTTCTTTCTCAGATTCAGTCTGTTATCGCTAATAATGCTGTCTGGCATCAATCTCCTGAATTTGTCTTTTTGCAGTGATCAGTATGTATATATATTTGTACGCTGCTATCCTCTTCAAGCATGTCTCAGCCCAGCTACAGGACTTGGTTCTTTCAGTCTTTCTTAATAACACAGTCTTCCTAGTTCTTTAGCACTAGGACTAGGTTTCACTCAGAGTGTAACAATAGGAGTAATAAGCTTACATATTAAAATTTAATTATACAGACTGATCTAGCAGCAGGAGGCTGCATGCTTGTACTACAGTTGATGCAGGAATAGGCACGCTCTGCTAATCGTGATTGGTCTATCTAGGAGTAGAAAGAGCCTGTTTCCTCTTACCTGAGATGGAGGAGAGGTGGAGAAAGATGTGGTACAAACTTCTTGGGAATCTTCCACTGATGGGTACACTGCACCATTGTCCTCACCAGCTCTAAAGCAGCAAAAAAAAACCCCAACTTCCTAACTGGAAATATTCCCCAGATAAAACAAACAGTAAAACACACTGGGACAAACATTGCAGGGAAATTGAGAGTATTTGGGTGGAGTTGAAAGGAGAATTATAAAGGGCTCTCATAATCTCCTTGGCAGAACTGAGGAAAACGAGGAATGGAAATTTTAGTTTTCCCCAGGATTATTTACCCCAGAGACTCTTCTTCCCACCCCTAAATAGGAACACTTCCTTTTAAAAACAAACACACAAACAACCACCTAAAGAAAGGTTTTGCTATACCAGCCAATGCTACTGGCTTCAGTGTTGAGAGAACCATTGTCAAACAACGCTGCTGGTCCCAATCTGACTGCCCTCATGTGAATTTTAGAGAGGGCAAACCCTTCATCTACAAAGATAAATTTCAAATCTGTAATTTTTCCCCTTGGAAATCTCTGGAAACACATGCCTCTGGACACCTAGTTCTACAGCAAGATTAACTGCTACCCTTTTAAATTCCCAAAGGCAGCCTAGTTTCAACCTCTTTTGTGGCAGAGTGGTTCTGTAAGGAATCTGGGAACATAACGGGGCTTGCTGCACTCAGCCTTCTAGACCTGAGGGGAAACATGCTGCCCTTCCTCATGTGCACGTCAATATGACTGACCCTGATCCTCCAGGCTCCCTTTCCACGTGGTCAGGTAGCGGAGAAGGCTCTGTGTTTGGGCGTAATGATGCCTTCACCATAGCCCATGACTGCACTCAGTGTTTCCTCACCTGTAATTGCAGGGATGCATGGGCGAAGAGCTGGGATAGGGACGGTCCACAAAGTGATCAATGATAATCCCCATAATAGGAGGGGTCCTCTCAAACTGCCTGCAATGCAACAAGCAAATAGTGTTATTGGCATTCCTCTCTACCATACCCCCACTCTGTGTGGTGCCCTCACAGAAAGCCCTAGTACCTGTTAGTGGGACCACAGCATCTTTCTTTACAATTCAACCCTGCAACTCCAGGCAAGCATCATCAAACAGCTCAGAGTCCCAGAGTCTGGCTCAGGGCTACCCAAATACTCCCCTTGCTGCAAGACTTAAGCATGACAGAGTATTCTCCATGAAGGAGCATCTCAGCAGGGCAGGATAAGGAGAAGGGAAAGATTTACAGGTTCATAATATGGGGGGAGGGGGGGTTAACAATACATTATGGTAAAATCCTTTCTGGCATGATCATGTTTTCTCACCTGGTTGACATGAAGGCAAGGTTGATTCTGTAGGCACAAGACAAAGTGATGGTGCCCACTGGAGTACCCACTGTCCCAACACGGACTGTCTGGAAACCTATACGGTTAAAGCATAATTATCAGATTCAATGGTTACACAGAATATGATTATTTATATTCTATACTTCCCTATTGTAAGGTTATATCATCTTATTTGTACTGTGTTTACATTATCCCTTGCAATCTGAACTCCAAACACAACACAGAACCTATAACAAAACAGCAGTACTAGGCTGCCTTGCTGTTAGGCCTCATCTACCAGACTCCTGATCTGGACTTCCTATCCTGGCCTCGCACATTGCTCTGAGGTGCTTCTCGATCCTGGGTATATCATTATCTCCTTTATTGGTACTGTCCCTTATACACATACCTCCATATTCTTTATTTCAGTTCTGGATTGCTGGAGTCAAAATGGCAGTCACCCTAGGTCCTGTCAAAGTACGTTATACCTGTCACCTTGTGACATGACCCTCTGCAGAAAATATCCACGTTTAAAAAGCACGTGTAAACCTCAGGCTTAATTTTCCTTGCAGCACTTAGAGATGGTAATAAATGGCTCACCAGTATGGAAAAGAGTTCTGCTTTAGTTTATGGCTGTTGCCTAACCATACCTTCTCCCAAGCCACTCAGCTGCACTTCACCAAAATATATCCTGCAGGAAAAAGAAAAAGAAACAGTTGTTAGGTCTAGTGGGGCATAATGCTAAATATATCCATATTCCCTATTTAATTTTGTAATAATGGAAGGGTTGGAGCCACTCTTCCTCTTTATAAAAAAGCGGAAGTAGCAGCCAGAAAGCCCATCTCAAAAAGTATTCCAGCTACTTCAGTCAACAGGAGGAAGTGTCATATGAATTTAAAAAAAAAAAAAAAAAAAAAGAAAGAGAAAATGGTAGCTGAGTCTAATCAGAAAAACTTTTTTTTTAAGCCTGTCAATCTCTGTGACAAGTCTACAGTTTGTAGCAAAAAAATGAACTGATTCAAATTTCAGGGATGGGTCTGAGTCTTAAAGCTGGTACTCATCACACAACATAAAAGATATTAACTGTACTGAAAAGAGAGCTGCTCTTAAGTATACACCAAACCAGCAACACAGGAGAGAATGAAGAAACGACTGGGATTTCTTTTAAACTTCTTGCCTGTGCAACTGATAACAAACATGAGACTTTGTGCTAAAATTATCTAAATTAGCTATGCACACACAAAGACTTCTCTTGAAGCCAAAAAGACGACCAGAAGGTGATAACCACTAACTGTAAGCCAGTTGGATCTCACAAGCTAAACAGAGCTCATTATCTGGATGAGAAAACTGTAGGAATCATAGGAAGCGGAGTTGAGGACGCACCTTTAAAATGGAATAGCAGGAGAGAGTCTGAGTCTCAACTGCAGAAGCGTGCAATTCAGTTATCTGCAACTTAGCCATGCGTTTGTCAGATACAGGGCACGCACTGAACAACTGGACGCAAGTAAGTAATTCAACCATTTAGCTGCATGTAGAATTTTTGTGATCATCTCAACAAGCTAGGCATGCAAGAATACTTTCAGAGCTTGTGCTCTTTTTTTTTTTTAATGCCTCAGAATGAGGCTATAAGGTGATATACAGCCCAAAGTTCTCTTCTTATCATTGATCTGTAGCAGTTAAATTCCAACCATTTCAATTTGTTATCGCTCATCCCTTTTGACCACATTTACAGATGCACTGTGCAAGTCTACAGCCCCCGCTGTTTCTATTTCAAGTACGCAATTTTCTATTTCACTTTACCTGTACAATATTACATATTCGTGGCCTTGTTTTCTTGAGAGTCTGTACGCTGGAGTTACCCTGGTTATCGCAAGTAAAGACTTCAGTAGTAGAGACAGCCTGTTGTACACGGTGTATGAAACTTTGATTTCTTTGTCACACCTACAGAACACATGAAAAAAATTAAGTCTTCTGTTTCCAATTAAGAAAGTAATTTTTTTAATCAAAATGAGTCTGGGCCAATTGTTCAATGTCAGTTTTATTGCCCAAACAATAAAAGAAAGCCTCAGCGTGACCACCTGTTGTTGACCAACCAGCTAAGAATCCTACTTCAGTCTAGTCGCTTCTTGTAGAATTAGTTACTGAAAAATGCCATGCAGCCTTGTAATAGACAGGAGCATCTTTACAGCATTAAAATCATTTGTAGTTATCAAGTATATGAACTCTATGTCTGAGGAGGTATACTAACTGCAATGGAAGAATGAAGAAAGAATGAAGTTTCTAGTTTCCTTTCTTGACACTGATATTTAACAGCTGGACAGCTGCACGAAACGAAGAGGAGACTTCCCTCTGAAGTGACACAGGCAGCAAAGCCAGCGTGTGCTCATTCATCCACGTGGATCGAGCAAGCTTCCCCATTTTATCAGCTAAAAACCCTCCAAAACAAACATCAGAAAACCCAGCAATACAAAGAAAGTTGGAAAAACGCACTTACTTTTCATTCATTTCTAGACACCAAATTTCCAGCTCCATAGAATCCCCCTGGATCAGAGAAAAGACGGTGAACAAAGGCTCATTTCAGAACACAAAGCTTTTCACATCGCATGAATGACCAGCAACAGCCAAATCTCTCAAAAAGACGTTTCTCTGGCTACCACTTTCTTGTCATCTTGACAAGAGACAAAGTTGCACTCGAAGCTTCATCGCAGAACTTGATCACTTCAGGGCATCACTTCCTCAGAATGGCTAAGCTCTTCACGGGCTAAGAAGCTATGTTTTGCTGCTCTCTCACTTGCGTGTTTGGCCTCAGATATTTGCAGTGAATTGCTTCTTTTCTTCTCGTTAACATACTAGCTAACTTCATGATTGCGGATGTTTTTCCATTACCTTGGGCTAAAATGCAGAAGCTCTGGTGGGTGACTTACGATGCAAGTCAAAAAACAGGAACCTATTCTCACCTCTGAGGTTTTGAGAGAAATCTCCACGCACATGGAACGTCCAACAGCAGGTAGCTGTCCTGCCAAGGCCTTCTTTGCTTCATGAGTAACCTCTGGTATGTCTTTGATTGCCAAATTGAACTGCAGAATGAAAGAGACAAATCAATTTTTGTATTTCTCTGAACAACTGCCTAAAGGTATGCTGCAGACAGATTCATACACCAGTGTATAACATACTAGGTCAGTGTCCATTGAAATATTTATGAAACGCAGGAAGTGGCTCAAGCTTTTCACATTTGCAAACAACATTTCCTTGGCTGCTAATTCAAAAGGTTTTCCTGATCCTGCTGTACAAAGTTATGCTACTTCTTTCTCACTTGAATTGTATGTTCACCCACAGAGTATCTCAAGTCACTTCAATGTTAATGAAGCCCATTACTTATAAAGTCCTGAATCACAGGTGCAAACTTCTGACAAAAAAAGAACTCATGATGCCACCCCAGCAGATCTTGGAAACGTGCCTTAGTCAGCAGGTAGGAGTTGCTGATAGGTATCATTTACCTCTCGTCTAATTAGCCCTCAGAGAGCCCAGAGTGACATGTTACGTGTCAACAAGGAGGAAAAAAACCCCACATAATTGAATATAGTAGTTATTATATATGAATAGTTATTGTAGTCTGCGCAAGAACTGCATGCGTTCTCAACGCTAAAAAACACAGTTATGGAGTTGCTTCAAAAATTATGACTTTACCCAGTCAGAACCTGTTGGAGATGATGATGATCGGGTACAGATTTTCTCTCCAAGTCGGGCCTGGACAATTACTTGTACCGTCTGAAAGAGAAAGGAAAAGACACAAACTGATTTCTTCAGCTCAGCAGAGCCCTCTATTCAGAACGTGGACCAGAAAAATTCCAGGTAAAAAAATTAAAGGATTGACCAGAATGTAGAGAAGTGGAGTTTGCTAGGCTACTCTTCAGGTATAATCACCTTAAATTATTATGTACAATAGGTAAACATATTTCAGACAGAAAACGTTTTTAAGCTGATCTTTTTTGTAATAACATGAAGCAACTAAGTCAATTTCAAGGAGCTGCATTTTTTTCAGTAATACTGAAACAAGATTTACAACTGTATCCTGAAGCTGGAGACAAAGTCAAGTGAGTCATCTGTTGTCAAGAGTATCTACGCGGCTCTAGTAAGGCCAAGTAGTAAAATCTGTGTACCAAGTAAGGCCAAACTTTTCTTTACAGTTACGTATCATGACTCAAAAGAACAGATACTATTTCTTCTGGATGCCACAGAAAAATTTAGATGGGCTGAAAAGAAAGGCTAGAACCCAGCAGGGGATACTATCTAGCTGCTGGAGGCAGTTAAACGCGTTGATAGGAGCTCAAAGCTGACAGCAGTATGATCAGCCTATGACTGATTTTATAGCAGGACATTTTTGGGGGAGGGAAGAGGAATTGACGGTGGGGGAGAAAAGACATTTTTCTAATTCCTCCTAGGATTCTCTTTTCTAAATTTGCCTTCAGCTTTTCTTGTTTTTATCTTTAGCAAGCAAAAAACCTCTGTTATGCTATGCTGTCTACCAGGAGTATGGCTTTTCTCTTAAACAGAAAAGAAGAGAGATTTGCGCACAAGAGGACGAGTTACCTTCAGAGCAAAAAATTTGATGAACTTGTCCAGGTCCTTCCTATCCTGGGAACTGAGATCAGTGTCCATTGCATATGGCAATCTGAAATACAGTACAGGTCTGGGAATGAAGTCTTCCTTCACCTTTCTGTTTGGATTTTAAGATTTCAAAATATTTTGCCATTACAGACTAGCTCAAGAGAAACAAAATGGCTAACAGAACTATGCGGAGTGTGTTAAACTCACAAGAATAATAATATATTTTGTCCGTGCAAAAGGTACCAGGAGAAAAACAAAGGAGGCTCACAATTAAAACTGGATACAAGTTCTCCAACTTTTTTAACTTAATGGAAAAAAAAAAAAAAACCCACCCACTCCAACACTACTCTGGGTTTGATATTAAATTATGCATAGACATGGCAGTCTCAGCTTCAAAAAGAATACCTCTTCAGTTATCAGCACAGGTCAAAACCAAACCAAATTGGTTTCTTGGGTCTAAAAATCCTAAAACCAGTATTCCAGTAGTATTTCAGCAGATACTGAAGTCTATATAACAAACTGCTGCTGGAATGGCCTATATTGCTTACCTCCAACAAATATGTACTTGCAGTATACCTGTATTTGTATTCTTCATTAGGCTACACATTTACTACAACCAACTATAAAGATGTATTCTGCCAATGGACAGATCAAAATTCTACATTCGCTTCTCTTGAAAGCTTTTGATGACAGATACTTAACTCCCACAATCACAGCTTGTTTTTCAAAACATTAATAATGTTTTAGCAATACAATGAAACCTGTACAGTGCATGAAGCCAGATGTGCCAAGGTACTAATCAGATCTCTGCCACCAGCACATGACATGGCCTTGGATAAATGATAATTTCTCTGTGTCTCAGTTTTTTCACTTGTAAGTTAATAATCAAAGAGACCATGGGGAGGATTGCCTTAATTAGCAGCATTAATCGTGCTTTTTACTCATAAGCCTTCAAAGTATTAATTCATTCTTAATCTCTATTGTTGTTTTTGTTTCAAGATGGCTAATTCCCCTGAAGCAGCTTGTCAAACAAATCTCATATTTATGGAGCACGCTGCTCATCACTGAAACGCTGGAGTTCGAAGGTCAGCAAGCACAAGCAGCTAACGCGCACACGGTAACTTTACTCAGTGCTCAAACTTTATGCAAAGAGTGACCTTGCAGCAAGCCTGTAGTACTGGGAAGGGTTGAGTGCTGTATTTATACAAATTAAAGCTTAGCAGGACAAAGGGGCTAATAATCCTGTTCATACAGGAAATATCATATGATCTTTAATGACTACATGCGTCCAGTACTCATATTTAAAATATCTCCACTGAATAGCAGTAAATACTTATTTTAAGTACTGCTTCAGAAGCATCATCTAAGAGGTGGTGCTGCCATTAGAGTACTGCAATTCATAGAGCACTTTACAGAGAGGAGTGCCGATTTCGGAAACGACTCTGCACAAAAAAAAAGTTTGGACACCTAATCTTGTTGAAGAGTTGTAGGCTACACTCAAATGGCATCTCCCAGCATAGTACAGTTCTCATCATAAGTTATAATTTAAATTGAAAACTAATATAAGCAATTCAGCATCAGATACATTCACAAATTATCCTTTGGATATTTTAACCTCATCACCAAAAATATTATACTTTCTTTCTCCCCTTTTATCTCAACTAGACAGAGATCATAAGAGTCTTTCAACTGCAGAGGGAATGCAAAAGAAAGTCAGCATTTAAAAGCACTACATGTTTGACTGATGCACTACTCTAATGCAGAAAAAGTAAGCTTTTAGTATGGATGCTTCCCATTACTAACTGTAGCATCATAAGAAAAATAGGTCAGAATCATTTGTTGCTATTCTTCTGACTTAAGTAAGCAAAGCACTGTAGGGGTTGAGAGGACTTGAGATACACAACAAAACCTGGCTGATATGGACAATAAAACATAGCATAAAAAAGAATTCTTTTCTCAGCAAGGAGAATGGTGACCTTTAAATATCAAGAGAAATCAAATCAGCTTTTAATACAAAAAAAGAAGTGAGAGGACATTTATGTATGACCCCTGAAGAAAGGTGCAAAGCAGTATACATCCTTGTCATAGGAGAGCTGTCAAAGCACCTACACTTTCTTCATGGGACTGAAAGAAAAAACCCATCCCTTTGGCAGAATGACTATTGCAAAACATTAGAGAACTAAAGGATGAAGTTAGGCCCACTGGTGCCTTAGGAAAAGAAGCAAAGCAGATTATCAAAGGGTTCTCTGTGCAGTACAAGAATTGGTTCGGATGCCTGCAATACCCAAATGTCTACAGAGAGGAGAGAAGTGGCCAGAGTCATGTCTTGGATTCACAGTTCAAGGAAATAGTGCTTCACAGGTCTGCCCCCCTCCAGGAAAATTAGGATTCTTTCTGCGAGATCCCAAACCACCTGGAACATCCATGAAAAGTCTGGAGATTCATACTCTCATCTCTCAAGCTCCAAATGCTAGCAACAGTTGACTCATCAGAGCCTAAAATAAAGCAGAAAGCATCAGGTGAGGTTTCATGCCAGGGATCTGTAATTCCAGGGTGAAAGAGTGACCCTGGAATTCAGCTCCTGACATGTCTATGGCCTGTCATCTGATGGCCATCATCTCCTCATTTTTGCAGGGAACCACTGGGGAATACTTTTTTTGATGATTACCTGACATCTGCTGAGGCTTAGGACAGCGTTCCTTTTAGAATCATACTTGCTAAGGGTCAAGACAGATCTAGAACTACAGCTATCATTTGATTTACAAAAATGACTTTATACCCTCATGTTAGTTGCCATCAACTGACCTGAACAGGAAGGAAATCTTTTAAACTTAATTCCACCAAACTCATTCAATTTCTTAAGTCCTGTAAGTTGCAATGCCAACACAGCTCCCAGTTTAGTACCAGTTATCCGGGTCAGTGCATCCCACAAGTCATGCTTAACTCAAGGAGGCTGCTACCTAATTTCATACAAAATAGCCACCATAAGGAAATAACCTTTGGTCTAGGTCAGAAACCTACAGATGACTGATTCCCCCTCAACCAAGTAATCCATTGAAAAAACAGATATACCTCACTGCTTTAAGCTTACTCACAGGCTGTTCACAAGTGAAAACAAGCATCTTAGGCACATGGCTTTTTGCTTTGCCTCTTGCAACATCCATCTTTATACTATTTGCCTTAATTCATATGCATTTGTCTCCTCTTTACTCTAAATTGAAAAGTCAGAAACAAATGCTACATGCTGGTTTTTTTGGCTAAGGCCTTATTCTTTCTTACAAGACTACGATGCAGAGATGAATATGAGGCCTATCCAACAGTTTGACATCTGGGCAGTGTGCCTTATATACTCGGTTAGTATTTGTATTCTCCTTCACCAAGGAGAAGGACACATTAACAACTTCATATAAGCTGATGGCATCCTGTTGGCTGATGCAACAAACTGCAACAGCCCTCCCCTTCATGCATTGGTATAACCAAAAGACAAGAAGAAACTACAGCTACCAGCATGCCATGCTCTTGTTTGATGATTAGCAGCCCAGATGCATGCAGCCGTGTGTAGCCGGGGCATACGGCAGGTGCACAATGACACCTGTGAACACTCGAGTTACAGACTGTTTCACCCATGGGCACTTAGTGTGCGTGCGTGTTTGACTCTCACATAAATAGGAAAGGAGCAGAAGCACCTGACAGGTACCAAGCGTTACTACTGCTGGAGGGGAAAGTGTACATGGGCCACTTCCAATATCTCCCTCCTCTGAGATTTCACTTTGAGCTATGACTGCTACAACTTAAATTCATTATGGCTTCCTTTATAATAGATAGTTAGCAATGCAATATAATTATTCAAGGTTTCTACTGGAGAGTGACATCAAAAAGGCCATGGGGGAGAAATAAGAAGCGCTGTCAATGTTAAGAGGACGACTGTAGACACCTCTCATCTCAGTTCCCGCTTCCTGATTATCTGAGTGTGCCCTCAAAACTGAGTTCCTTGTTTCCACCACTCTTTCAAGACTTTACGTGAGTACAGGAAGCAAATCCAATCTCTCAGTACGTCGTATGTGAAGTTCCAGAAAATCCTTGTTGAATCAGTCAAGCAGACAAGAAGCCAATGCAAATGTTTCGACCTTTTAGTATAAGGGTGCCTTTGACAAATAGCTAGTGAAGCTTTCCTAGAACATCTCCTTCAGTGACCAAGAAGTTTCAGTGCAGACAGGTATTTTGTGCACATTAATAAGCAACTACAAAAAGATCTCCATAAAGAGAGCGCTCTGTTTCAAGGCTAGCCTGCAAGTTAAAACTTCAGTATCCTACAATTACTTAGTTTCCATCTTCCCCTTCCTAGGAGGTTAGTCAGAAACCTGCGGAGAAGAGAAAGAGATGGGGAGGGAACAGCTTTAAATTTTAATATCTGCCACTCTTATTCTTTAAAGTTCATGAATTAAAAAAAAAAAACAACAACAGAGCAGATTCAAGGGGTAAAACTGTTTCACATTATGTAAATATTCTGACCAAAATCAAAGGCTATCTAGTCTACCATATGGT